ATGAGAGACGAAACGTTTCTAGATTTTTTTTTGCTTTGTTTTGCTTTCGTTTTTTTTGAATGTCCAGAGGACCAGATTGAACTTTTTTGGACAACATCCTGGTGTTTCAAACCTAACGGGACTCGCAGACAAACTGAGCGGCGTGGCGCCTGCAGTTCAAGGCAGCAAGAAATGTTCTGACTGGAAAAACTAAACAACCACTCTATAGATGCTCAGCTCTTGAGGACATGACTCGGCTGTGCACCTGCACCTCAAGGATAGGAGACACTTGAAGACCACATTGTTCATATTTTGTACAGAAGGCAGTTAGCTTGAGATGAAGGGAAGACATTGATGTCTAAAAAAGTAAGTCTAATTTTAAGCAGAGGCCTGAGGTTTCATCTTTCCACAACATATACCCTGGAGCATTAATCCAACGGTTTTCAGTCAGGTCATCTGGACAGTTTCTTTTTTTTGCGCTGAAACGTTTCACCTTTGATCCAGAAGGCTTCATCAGTCAAGGAAACGCACAACACAAAACTGATTCTTCCCCCAACAGCTTACACCAAAGTGGAACAAACCAGTTATGTTGGTGCTAAGATGGTCTCTTTGGTACACCACCTCCTCCGTTGCCGGCCCTCTCTCGTTGACAGTCTTGTCAAACTGGTTCAAAACAACAAAGCCCATGCTCAGTAATCCAGGTATACAATCCAACATTTTTCAGCCACGTCATCTGGACAGTTTCTTTTTTTTTTTTGTGCTGAAACGTTTCACCTTCCGTTCAGTTTTGTGTTGTGTGTTTCCTTGACTGATGAAGCCTTCTGGATGGAAGGTGAAACGTTTCAGCGCGAAAAAAAGAAACTGTCCAGATGACGTGGCTGAAAAATGTTGGATTGTATACCTGGATTATTGAGCATGGACTTTGTTGTCCTGGAGCATTGAGTTAGATTCCCAGAAATTTTCACTCTTCGTGCATGTGACCGAAACATTTTTTAGTGAACCAGACTTACACAGATCCTGACAGTGGAGGCGAGTTGATCCGCAGGTGATGCCATCTTGAATCAACAGAGGATCTCTCTGTAGTTTAAAAGACTGTAACTTCAAACTTTTCGAACTGAAAAAGCTTCTGTGATGAGAAGCAAATCGTCTTCATCCACAGAAACAAACGCTCTTTTACAAAACAATTTCAATTTCATCGATCTTCCCTCTGCAATAAGTCTTTATTTAGTCCTGCAACCGCGTGGTCGCACAGACCGTGTGTCATCACTTCATCCCATGATTGATGGACGTTAACCGTTTTAGCTCTTCACAGCACAAAGGAACATGGGGTGGGTTGGCTTCAACCCCCGTCATGACCTCGTCCAGAATCACACTGGGACAGCCAGAAGGTGTCTCAGCCTCTGCTTGAAATGTTTTGTGAAGGAGCCTATAGTCCAGTTGACTTGTTTATTTTTTTACTTCTAATTCTTTATTGTTTAGGACTGAATCATATTCTCTTTTTCACAGCTGCACCAACTGTGTTTTCATACAGAAATGCAGCTTCACAGGACAGGTTGGTTTGCTATGATTTTGTATATATTTGTGTCGTAAGTCGTTAATGATGGTTACTTTAGTAACTTGAATCATTTTCAGGTGGGCTGGCATGACGGTTCATGCATCATTCAGTGGATCGTTTGAAGCCACACAGTCTGTTAGACGTACAAAGGTCTTTATTTATGCGAGATTAAAATCATTTGTGAGGTCAAACTTTTCCAGGTAACGTATGAGTTGTCTGATCTTTCTTGACCTGTGTTGCAGCAGAAACAGGCAGCAGAGGTGGATCTTTCTACAGAAGTGGCCACTCGTCTTAATTTAGTGTCACTTAGCGACAGAGACACGTCTGCTGTCAGCCTGACTGAAACACAGCCTACGTATACAACGCATGCAAGGCGCGGTGACGAGGACATACCACTGACTAAAGTGAGGATAAATGTATGACTTGATTGTAGAATGACTTTGTTGGGCAGTACTGAGGCCCTTGATGTTTCGTCACGTGCTGTTTGTTTTTGTAGGAAATGGCAGCAGAGATAAGTGAAGCTCTGGCTCTGAGTGACCCCAACCTTGTTTTAAGTGCAGCCTTCAAACTTCGCATCACACAGCGAGACTTGGCAACGCTACAGGAAGGTGGATGGCTCAATGATGAGGTACGAGCGTTGCTGCACACCATGACTTTTTTTTTTTTTTTTTTTAAATAGAATAAGCATTTTATCAACAGCAACTGTTAATATCTGTTATTGCATGCTGTTTTAAAGTGGGGATAGAGCTGCAAGTCATAGTTAAATATTTAGCTTCTGTCGATGTTTATTACTGAAAAACGTGTTTTTTCTATGCCCGTTGAAGGTGGACCTATTATGTTATAGTCTCCGTACGTCCATAAGCTCTCTTGTTCCACCCATAACTTCTGATCTGCTCAAGATAATTTAACGAAACCTAGTACATATGTGTGCCTTCGTTAAACGGAGTGTTCTAGACAGTTTTCATCACCCCAGCTCCAAGGTCAAAGTCACAAATCAAGGTCAAATTTAAAACAAGGTCTTTGCTTGTCTCGCCCATAACTTCTGATCCACTCAAGATAATTTAACATGGCAACACAATGGCTCAGTGGTTAGCACTGCTGCCTCACAGCAAGAAGGTCCTGAGTTCAATCCCCGGTTGGACCTGGGGTCTTTCTGTGTGGAGTTTGCATGTTCTTCTCGTGCTTGCGTGGGTTTTCTCCAGGTACTCTGGTTTCCTCTCACAGATCAAAAACATGAATGTTAGCCTTAAGGTCCAGGCTTCCCTCGTAAAAGAAATCTGTGATCTCAGTGGGATTTGTTTGTTAAATAAAGGTCAATAAATTAGATAATTTAACAAAACTTTATACTTTGTACCACCACTTCATGGCTTGTCACATAGTTTTTTCATCACCCCAGCTTCAAGGTCAAGATCAAAGGGTGTATAAGGTCTTTGCTTATCCAGACCATTGCTGAAGATTGTTGTACTGTGGTATAATAGTTTAACAGGCGAATAATATGCCATATGCAACACTTGCTTTTTAAATACTCATGAAATCTAAGCACTTAATATTTCTGATTTGCTAATCATAAAATGATACAGCAATCTTAATAAAGACTAAACTATGATCTTGTCACAGTGGAAACAAAGTTTAAAGTTGCAAAATGTAATTCAAAGAGATCCAAGTGGTGCTGGAATATGGCTCACGTCTTTTTTAATCTGTTTTTGACATTTATCCCCAGGTGTATGAATGTGTTGTCTGTCTCTTTTTTTTCCATTAAGATAATGAACTTCTACTTTTCCCTGATCATGGAGCGGAGCTTTACAGAAGCAGGACCATTAAAAGTCTACTCCTTCAGCACCTTCTTTTTCCCAAAGCTGGGAGGAGGAGGAGGCGGACAAGCTGGAGGCCATGCAGCCGTGAAGCGCTGGACTAAGGCTGTTGACCTTTTCCTCTTCGACCTAATTCTGGTTCCGCTGCACCTCGGCGTCCACTGGGCTATGGCTGTGAGTTACTCTAATGAAACTGGTAATCTTGGATTATAATGTGTGCAAAAGCTCAGTTTACATATAGTTGTGCTCAAAAGTTTACACACCCTGGCAGAATTTGTGATTTATTTATATTTGGCAATTTTTTCAGAGAATATGAATGACAACAAAATCTTTTCTTTCACTCATGGTTAGTGGTTAGGTGAAGCAATTTATTATCAAACAATTGTGTTTGATTTTTTTCCCACATCATAACAGAAAATACCCAAATGACCATGATCAAAACTTTACATCCCCTAGTTTTTAGTACCGTGTATTACCATACCATACCATTTTATTTATAAAGCACTTAAAACGGCAACAAGGCCAACCAAAGTGCTGTACAGACAGAACAACAGGTAACACACAAAGAAAAATACAAAATGAGGAAAATCAGAATATAGACATAAAAACGCTGCAGATAATGACAACTAACCAGTGTGGAGCATACAGGATTAAAACACAGATCATCTGGTGTTGAAAGCCACCAAATAGTAGTGGGTTTTTAAACGGGACTTGAAAACCGAGAGGGAGGGAGGCCTGTCTGACAAGCAGAGGTAACTCATTCCAAAGTCTTGGTCCTGCTACAGAGAAGGCCCTGTCACCTCTGCGCTTAAGACGAGTTCCTGGAACTGTGAGGAGCAACTGGTCCGCTGACCTCAGGGAGCGCGGTGGGAAATACAGTTGTAGCAAATCAGAGAGATGGGGGGGGGGGGGGTGAAACTGTTCAGTGATTTGTAGACATACATGAGTATTTTGAACTGGATTCGAAAGTGAACCGGTAACCAGTGCAGTGAGGCCAAAACTGGTGTAATGTGCTCTCTTTTGCCTGTACTGGTTAAAAATCGGGCTGCTGCATTCTGGACCAGTTGTAGTCGTGCAATGGAGGTCTGACTGATACCAAACAGGAGCGAATTGCAGTAATCAAGCCTAGATGTAATGAATGCATGTATTACTGTCTCCAGGTTCTTTTTGGACAATATGGGCTTCAGTTTAGACAGCCGCCTCAGTTGGAAGAAACATTATTTAACAATCATGTTTACATGATTGTTAAGTTTCAGGGAAGGGTCCATTATCACTCCCAGATTAGTGACTCTTTGTTTTTCTGACAGGGTTAGAGCGGAAAGGTCGATGCAGTGGTTTGTGATTGTGTCGTTGGGAGGGAACAACATGACTTCAGACTTCTTTTCATTGAAATTTAAGAAGTTTAAAGCCATCCAGTCCCTGATGTCAGCCAGGCAGTCGAGCAGCGGTTGAATAGAGCATGTACCATTGTGTCTTAGGGGGGAGTAAATTTGACAGTCATCGGCATAGAAGTGGAAGGGCATGCTGTGTTTCCGGAAAATAGCACCAAGCGGCAGCATGTATAAAGGGAATAGGAGGGGACCCAGGATGGACCCCTGCGGAACCCCCCATTTAAGCTCTGCCTCTGCGGAACTAAAATCATTGATGGAGACACAAAAGGATCTGTCAGTGAGGTAAGATCTGAACCAACTGAGGGCTGATCCTGTGACGCCCACCCACTGCTCCAACCTAGCAATGAGGATCTCATGGTCGATGGTGTCAAAGGCGGCTGTGAGGTCCAACAGGACAAGCAGCACAGAATCACCAGTATCTGTGGATCTGAAGATGTCGTTAAAGACCTTCAGCAGGGCAGTTTCAGTGCTGTGGAGAGGTTTAAAGCCAGATTGGAATAGACTGAAGATGGCGTGATCCTCCAGGAAGCACTTCAACTGGGACTCGACTATTTTCTCCAGTACTTCGGAAACAAATGGGAGTTTGGAGACAGGTTGGTAGTTGGAAACGACTGAGGGGTCATGGTTTGTTTTTTTTCAGGAGAGGCTGGACAGCAGCATGTTTAAAGGTTTTTGGCACCACGCCAGTGGATAAACTACTGTTTACTATATCAAGAATGGACAGACCTAGAGTTGGAAACACCTCCTTTAGTAGTCGAGGGGGGACCACATCAAAGTGGGAGCCAGAAGGTTTCAAGCTGCACATGACCTGCTCTAGAGAAGATAGAGTGATGGGTTCAAAATGGTCAAAAGGAGCTACAGATTGAGGTGGGATGGACGGGTCATGAGTTGGAGGGGAAATGAGAGCCCGGGTGGTCGCAATTTTTTCCACAAAGAAATGTAAGAAGTTCTCACACAGCTCAGTCGAGGCTTCCAGAGGTGATGGTTCAGTGAGGTGGAGAACAGAGTTTAGGGTGGAGAAGAGGACACGTGGGTTGTGAGAGTTTGAGGTATTTATATCAGAGAAGAATTTTGATTTATCCTGATACATGCTCAATAATCCAGGTAGAAAAATCCAAAAAAAAGTTCAATCTGGTCCTCTGGACATTCAAAAAACAAGAAAACAAACAACAAAGCAAAAGAAACGTTTCGTCTCTCATCCAAGAGACGAAACGTTTCTTTTGCTTTGTTGTTTGTTTTTTGTTTTCTTGTTTTTTGAATGTCCAGAGGACCAGATTGAACTTTTTTTGAATTTTGATTTTGCAGCTTTTACTGTTTTCTGATAATGGCGCCAACTCTCTTTAAGTATTTGGAAAGAGACCTGCAGCCTGTCTTTCCTCCACTTTCGCTCCGCCCTCCTGCACTGCTGCCTAGCGGCCTTGGTGACGTCACTCAGCCAAAGTTCTGCTCTGATTTTTGATTTTTTGGTTTTAACAGGTGCAACATGATCCAGAGTCTTTAAGCAGACAGAGTTGAACTGGGATGTCAGCTCCTCAGTGGTGGTGAGAAACACTGGGGGCTGAATGATCATTTCAGAGTTATAAACATCTGTGAAACGTGCGGCAGTGAAGTGGTTAATGGTCCGAGTGCGACGTGCAGGAATGCACGACTTAGGAGTTAGATGGGGGAGGGTGAACTCAAACTGGACTGGCATGTGGTCTGAAAAAACATTATCACCAATAACAAGATTATTAACAGTCACATCATGAGTTAAGACAAGGTCCAGTGTATGTCCACGCTCTTGGGTGGGACCGTTTACATGCTGAGTTAAATTAAATGAGTCCAATAAATCTAAAAAGTCCTTAACCAAGTTCTTCTCAGGACAGCACACGTGCAAATTAAAGTCACCAATAATGAAAACATGATTATATTTTGGTGTGATTTCAGCCAAGAAGTCAGAAAACTCATTTATGAAATCCTTAGATCGAGGTGGACGGTAGACGAGTGCAAATAACGTCGGAGGTGAATGTCCGAGTTCAAAGACGCTCAGCTCAAAGCTGGCGCAGGAAACTGGGATGGGCAGTTGTTTACAGTCAAAAGTTGATTTGAATATTGTTAATAATCAATAATATGTTGCTTTGTCCATGGCTCAGAATCCACCAGCATCAATGCAACACCGGATGAAACGCGTCGGGAGCCTAGAAACTCACTGACTTTTTACACACACTGCTAATTACAAACAAGCTCATCACAGGTGAGGATGGGTGCCTTTATTTACACCTGCGTGTGTGTTTTCATAACAAAACTTCCAGGGTGTGTAAAGTTTTGACCAGGGTCATTTGGGTATTTTCTGTGTTAAAAAAACAAAACAAAAAGCAAACACAACTGTTTGGTAATAAATGGCTTCATCCAACCACTGACCATGAGTGAAAGAACGGTTGTTATCGTTCATATTCTTTGAAAAATGTCTAAAATAAATCTCTAATTCAGCCATGTTATTAAACCTTTGAGCACAACAACACGCCTCGTGTATTCATCACGTCTGTCACTTCTTTCAGGTGATTGATTTGAAATCTAAGACGGTGAAATCATATGATTCGATGGGCCGGAGACATGATGACATCTGTGTTCTTCTGCTGTGAGTAAACATCTAGTTCTTTCAAGGTTTTTTATTTTTATTTTTTCAATCTTTATTAAATTCATTTATTATTATTTATTGTCTTTGTTTGCATTCTTTGAATAATCTTGTGCTAATTTTCCAGAAACTATCTTAAGGAGGAACACAAAGTAAAAAAGGGCAGAGAGCTCGACTGTTCCAAATGGGCTGTAGGGAGTTCAAAGGCTACGGTAAGTTAAACTGATAAATGGCACAACAGTTGACACATTTTATCTGTTAAATTAATAATTTAAATATTCAAAACAGGAAATTCCTCAGCAGAAGAATGGGAGCGACTGTGGTGTGTTTGCCTGTAAATATGCCGACTGTATAGCTAAAGGGAGGTCTCTCACTTTTAAACAGGTAAAACTTTTTTTAATTGAGCGCTGCATGTTTAGTGTTTGTGTGTATACGAGGTTTTTAATGCTACAAAACGACCTCTTTTTATTTTTCAGTGCCACATGCCACTCTTCAGGAAGGTAATGATGTGGGAAATCCTCAATCAGAAGCTGCTCTAGTGAACATAATCGGTGGAAGCAACAGCTGTGCACGTTGAGTTCACAGAGAGTGAACGGGCCAAAGACCTGGACTTTACCGACTGAAATGTTCCTCTGATCTGGAGAAATTAAACGCGTCTTAAATTTAGCTTTGTCTCTCTTCTTGTTGGAGACATTAAAAAAACACTAATCTCTGAGTTTTAATTGGAGAGTCTGTTACACAGACTGGCACAAGTGAGAGAATGGCTTCTGTCGGCTGAGGGTTGTAGTTTTCACGGTTTATTTACAGCTTGAAGTGCCTTCAGCTCTTTACTGACCTCGGCTTGTTTTTTGTAACTCGGCTTTCTTTATGAGGAGCTTGGCCAAGAATTATTTTGTTTTAGTGGCTGATCAGTGATACCCTTACTTTTGGTAATTTGTTTATTTTTTCTATCTAAGTTAAAGATAATATAAGTATTTATATTTAGTCACAAAAAGATTGAGAAAAATGAAAAATCTTAATTTTTCAGACACGGTGAATGAGTTAATGTAAAACCATGTTAAATTATAATTTATGGCTTGACTGAAAAAATGTTTTTGTAGTATTTTTCCTCAATGCGCTGCGTATAAAGTATTTATCCACATTCGCTGCAAGTGCTGGGAGATGTGACCATTTTTAATTAACATACTGCAGACGCTCTAGGACTGGTACAAGTACTGCGCTTTGAGCGTACTCTCCATCATGAACTACTGCACAGACATGCATGTTTGTACTTGATCTGTATAAATATGATTTTTCCCCACCCATAATAAAATATTTTTGTTTAAAACTGGAGTTTGATCATTTTGTTTTTAACTGCTTTGTTACCAGAGGAGCATGCAGTTTGATGCCAACTTTAAAAGCAAACCCATAAATAAATGTTCATATAGAAAAATTCTATGTTGCTTTATTGTAGTGTGGGAAATTAAATGTAATATTTTGTACTTGATTTTCATGTAGTTTACATTTCAGCAAATGTCCTCGGGGCATGATGGCGGTTTTCTTTACAAAAATCGAACTCGTGTTGTGCAGAAAAATGGATCCCCGTCAATTCAATTCCATTTATTTTCACGTTTAACAAATAAAGAGCTGACACAAAGGACCTTTGATTTAAGAAATCAGATGTGCGCTATTACTTATTTGTATACATGTCACGTACACTGAGTGCTTTTACGCCCTACTATTTTTGACTCGAATGAAACGGGCAGACAGTAAATCCCAGAACGTGCTACAACCACAAGGGGTTCCATTTTCAGCACAACACCGGAGCAGGAATTCGGCGTCGTTAAGCGCAGCACCTTGAGGTATCTGCGCGAGGTGGTGCAGACAAACCTCTTTAAATTTGGATATAGCCAGTAGGCAAACAAGTTTAACTGTAATACATACATTTGAACACGTTTTTAACTTTGCGAGTTTAAAATGAGCGACAACGAGAAAGATTTCAGGGAGCAGGTGAGTTATAAAACGGAAACGATCGTCAGGAGGACGGTAAGCTAGCTAAGCTTGCTAATTTAGCGTTTTGCAGCGGTTGACATTCTAAAAAAAAAAAAGTACAATGTTTTTAAACGCCTGATCTTTACAAGATTGAATTTTTGAGTGTGTGTTTTAAACAACACATTTTACAGTATTAAGAGAAAGTAAAGACAAAGTTTGCAAATGATAGCAGACTCGCACGCTAAGCTAAGTCACGCGGCCTGTTAGCCGCATCGGAAAAGGAGGCTGCCTCCTTAAAAACACTTTTATTAGCGTCATGTATTCAGTTAAAACCGGGGTCTGCAACCTGCAAAACACTTGAGGACAATTTAACAACAAAAAGAATGAAATCCTGTACGTTCACTTTTTTAATATACATCTTTGGAAGTATGAATAAAACCAATCAGCAGTTTTATGTCTCTTTGTGTAAACAATGAATAAAAGAAACCTACATTTGAATTTGCTTATAATGTAGAAGATGAAACGTTAAAAAACGCCCTGATTGCTTATTTATCACTAGACTGTATTTTTTCTAGTATAAAACCATGATAAAAGTTGAAGTTGTACTTACCTTTTCTCTTTTTATGTGTAAAACTTGTTTCCATTGTTTAAAAAAATGGTTTGTATATTGTGGTTGCTTCAGGAGCTGGAGAGCCTCAGGTTGCAGACCCCTGATTGGGGAGAACTAGAAAAGTTAAAACTGTATGAAATACAACATTAAGAGAAGTTAGAACTATTGATCCCTCAGGAAATAGTTGACCTATAGATTTGTTCATTTTAGTGCAGGCAAATGGTAGTATAAAGACAAATAAAGAAAATTATCAGCTAATATAGCTTGTAGAAGTTTGTTTTTATTCCTGGGTTTTTATTTTCTTTGAACATTTTAGTAAAAATACAGAAACCAACTTGCCTTATCACCCTTGTTTGTTTTTTGTCAAGGTTAAGGTTGGAAGAAAGAAAAAGGCCCAAGACGTGTCTGATGAGACGTTTTTAATATATGAAGCTGATGCTGTTGATGCATGCTAATGTATTGGATGCTGAAAAGAAGCAATCAAGATCTGAACCCCACTTCTAGTGTTGTAATGGGAGATGGTAAAAAATGGGGAAGAGGATGAAAAAAGAAGTCAGAATTTCAAACAGAAGAAAGAAGAAATGAAGGGTTGTTATGAAGTTAAAGAAGTTATGAAGTTAAGATCAGAAGTATACCTGGGTATGAGTGATTTCCTAACAACCTGCTATGCTTTTACTTTATTTTATTGTTTTTCTCTTTAGCATGCTCAATTTTATTTTTATTTTTACCTCTGCATTACACACACCAATGATTAATCCCTCAATTTTTTAAATTCATTTATGTTGTTTCTTACCAGCTAATTATGCATATTTAAAAATAAGTTCAAGTCTGTGATTTTTCATCCAGTAAATTTTACTTAACGTTAAATCTGCTAAATGACTTGCTACGATGACTTCTTCTGAAAGGAGCAATCGTACAGTGAGGGCTGTCGCCTCCTGGCCCTTTCTTGTGTTCTTCACTGGCTTGCAGTTTGTTTCTGACCCCGGTGTCTTGTCTGCCCAGGACTCTCCTCGACGCTCGAGGAGCGCATCCCCTCGAGGCTCAGCGAAATCCGCTAGCCACTCGCCTGCCCGCTCCAAAGATGGCTCCCGCCGTTCCAGGTCTAGATCTCGCTCTCGATCCAAATCCAGGTAAAATGCTTTTCTGTTGTTAAAACAGCATGTCTGAAGTTGAGCACTAATTTTTAAAGCTGTTTAGACAAAAAAAATATATTTTTTTATCCCTAGGTCTCGTTCCCATCGAAGCTCACGCAAGCGATATTCCCGCTCTCGCTCCCGCTCTCGACACAGACATTCCAGGAGCCGATCTCGTAGCTCGGAGTACCGCCGGCACAGGAGCCATAGCCGTTCCCCCATGTCAAATCGTCGCAGACACATTGGGAACAGGGTACCGTGTCCCTTCAGTGCACTTTAGTGGACACCTAACTAAACTTAAGATGTCAAATTTGGCAAGATCATGAGCAGAAGCCTCTTCTGGAGACCCATCTTATTTATTTTCTGATCATAATAAAGTTAAAAAAAAGTTTAGCAGCACAACTTCTGAATTGAAACCCCCAAATTGTGAATTTGTGCGCATTTTATTTTTTTTTTGCTCGTAACATTTTCACTTGTTTCTTCCTACAGACTAACCCAGACCCCAGCGCCTGTCTGGGTGTGTTCGGTCTGAGCCTCTACACCACTGAGAGGGACCTGAGGGAGGTTTTTTCTAAATACGGCCCACTGAGTGATGTCAACATAGTGTATGACCAACAGTCGCGTCGCTCAAGAGGCTTTGCCTTTGTCTATTTTGAAAAGAGTGCGGACTCTAAGGAGGTTTGTAAATAATATAGGTCTGGGTTTAGAATCGTAAAGTGTTGATGCTGATGGCGATGATGTCATTTAGGCTAAGGAGCAAGCTAACGGCATGGAGCTAGATGGACGCCGCATTCGAGTGGATTTTTCAATTACCAAACGAGCCCACACTCCCACTCCTGGCATCTACATGGGCCGACCCACATAGTAAGTGTTGTAAAGCTTTTTAAGTTGTCAGATGTGGATTTCTTTATTGTGTAACTGGCTATGGCGACCATAAAGACTCTATTTTGTGACTTTGTAGTGGAGGAGGTGGGGGAGGTGGAGGAGGAGGAGGAGGAGGAAACGGCAGTAGTTCATCTCGCCGCGTCACCAGGGACTATGAAAGGGGCTACGACAGAGGGTACGACAGGGGGTACGATCGTGACTATGATCGCTATGACGAGCGAGAGTACCGATCATACAGGTGAGCATATATTACATTTTAAAATGTGTTGAATTAAAACCTTGTTAAAAGGAAACGTGCACACCTTCACAGACGTAGATCTCCATCTCCGTACTACAGCAGAGGTTACCGCTCTCGATCCCGTTCCTATTCACCACGTAAGTTTCTGCTTTTATCTATTTCAAGAATTATAATTATAAATCCGAAGTCAGACATAAAATATATTAAGGTCCTTTCACTTGATTTACTTTTTTACAGGTCACTACTGAGCTGAAAGGCCGGAGCCTGTGTTACTTTTGGACGCTCGTTTCTTTGTTTCGATCAGTTCAACTGTGTGAATAAAACTTCTGAATATGTCTGTCTTTAAAAGTATCTCTTGAAAAAGTGGAAGTTTGTAAACGCGCCAGTCAATTACATGTAACCAGGTGTGCAGGAAAAGTAACGGAAGTTAATTTTAGATCAGAAAACATCTGTAGGTGGAAGTAAACAGATGTGTGCTTCATTAACATTAAAAACCATTTCCTGTTGGAAGTCTTTTTGGCAAACTTGGATTGAAGGTAAAAACAAATAAAAAAAATCCAGTGTTGTGAAAAACAAACTCTGTTATAGATACATGCTGACTTAAAGAAACATCTTTCCTGCCATTTTTATCCAACTATGTTTTTTTTTTTTTTTTATGTACCGGTAGGTGACTTCCTAAACTTATGAGTTTACATTTTGGTAATAAAAAATGTTTGTTTGGTGATTACTGCAGTTTTTTTTCTGATTGTATATAGACAATAAAAATTCTTGGAAGACTTTTTTTTGCTGTGTATTTATCACCAGTGTGCCTTCTGTGATAGTTCTCATAAATCCTTAAAGTTTTCTATGAAACGCACAAAATGCAGCTTTGAATTGGATCCTGGCGCCTTTTCTTTAGTTGTTACTTCGGGAAAGTTTAGTCAAACAATGCTGCATTTATATTACCTGTTTGTTAAATCAGCAGGATTTTTCATGTTATATTGCAGAAGTATCAGGCAGATAAAGTGAGTAAATGTAAATAAAGGTACAGTGCACACAATTTCAATACTGCTTTCTAAATACTACAGAATTTTTTCAGTTGAAAGTAAACTTGATAAATGTAAGAACAGAAGGAAGGCCTTGAACTTTCAAACCTGTGTTAAATACTAGTGTTGAGAATACAGTAAAGCTAAAATGCCTTATTTTTGGTGGTAGACTGAAACTTGTGCATCTGAGAGATCTTGACTTCAAGTTTTTGTCATGCAGGTTAACACAAGGTCAACAGTACGATGAAATGTTCAGGATGAGAAGAACCGATTTGAGTCACAAAAAAAAATCAAAGGACAAAAACGAGGAATACTAAAGCATGCAATAAGGGTACAATAATAAAGTACCAAAAAGTGAACAAGTAATTATATTTTTCATTCTTTCAATCTTTATTTTTATAGGTTAATCACATTGAGTCTCGGGGACTCGTTAAAAAGACCAGATTTGCTTAACTAATTTACAACGCCCTAAAGAGTAAACAACAACATGGTAGAATGATGCAGGCAGGATGAATTTGAAAAGTATTTAAAGGTTGTAATATAAGCTAAAATGCAAGTGATATATATTGCATATAACTGCACAGGTAGTGACTGAGATTGAATTATGATGGTAAGGTAGATACATAGATACTATCATACATAATACAGCCACACAGTGCAGCAGCAATAAACACATGTCACGTGTCTTGCTGCAGTTGTCCAGTGTTTATTGAGAGTTTTATTAAACTCTGACAGAAATAAAATGTTTCTCATCAAAACCTGTGAAATAGCGTCTGATTAAAACACAGAACAGCAACGGAAAGGGTTTCTTTGTCAACTTTAATGAGGAGAAGCGGTGTTTGACAGTAAATTACTAAAACTTGTCAAAGTTTAAAAAAAAAAAGGTTGTGACGTGTCGCGCCTGCTCTGCGTCTGACCAATCAGAGGCGTTTATCGACAGAACACTTCCGGTTTGCTTCCCAACCTGCCTTTCCACAGGAGCGGCTGCTGTGAGCAGATACCCGCGGAGCTAACACCACGCAGAGCAAAGGCTGAGAAAAGATTCAAGGTACGAAGCGTGCTGTTTGACTCCAGCTGGACACGTTTTGATGACGACTGGAAGACGCAGAAAAGACTTTGTCCACTAAGAAATTTTCTCTTTGAGTGGAAATATGTCGAGGTGGTTCCAGTTAGCCACCGGCTAATGCTAACGTGCTGTTTGAATGAGGGGCTGCCTCCACACGTTTTCAGGAGAGCTAGTTCACAGAACTGTTGCCTCTACTTGATACATTTCAGATACTTCAGACATTTAAGGTTGGATGGTACAAAGGAACTTAAATATGTGGAAATGACTGTTAAAGATACAATCAGCTTGTTTTTATTTATCCACAGATGCCTCCAAAGAAAGCAGAAGCCCCCAAAGCACCTCCATTAATTGGACGATTTGGTACATCTCTGAAAATTGGCATTGTGGGATTGCCTAATGTTGGGTAAATGTAACACCTGAACGATGTTGATGAATATTCATCGGTGGGAATATGTTGGGTGACTGTTGATGTGACTCTTGCAGAAAATCTACTTTTTTCAATGTGCTGACAAAAAGCCAAGCATCTGCAGAAAACTTCCCGTTCTGCACCATCGACCCAAACGAAAGCAGGGTGCCTGTGCCTGATGAACGCTTCGACTTCCTGTGCCAGTACCACAAGCCAGCCAGGTGTGTTTACCTGTTTGTCATTACTTCTGTCCATCCAGAATCTGTTAAGCGCACTGATTCTTTGTCCTGGTCTTTGTAAATCTCAGTAAGGTTCCTGCTTTCCTGAATGTTGTGGACATCGCTGGTCTTGTAAAGGGGGCTCATTCGGGTCAAGGACTTGGAAACGCCTTCCTCTCCAACATCAGTGCCTGCGATAGCATTTTCCATATGACTCGTGAGAAGATTCTCCCGTTTAGGATGTTTGTTTTTGCCATTTTTAGCAACTTCTTAACACCGCTTTTGTAATGTTAAGGTGCATTTGACGATGAGGACATTATCCACGTGGAAGGCAATGTCGACCCAGTGAGAGACATCGAGATCATCCACGAGGAGCTGCGGCTAAAGGACGAGGAAATGATCGATCCCGTCATAGACAAGCTTGAAAAGACCGCCGTCAGGGGAGGAGACAAAAAACTAAAACCTGAATATGTAAGGAAATGATAACTGTGGCAGCAATTTGAATGTCTGCTCTCCTGGTTTTGATTTAAATAGTGAATGTGCTTGGTCCTTCAGGACATCATGATGAAGATAAAAAACTGGGTGGTGGAGGAGAAAAAACACATCAGATTTTACGACTGGAACGACAAAGAGGTACCGCCACAAGTTTGTAGATTTGGGTGTACAGTAGTCCCTCGTTACTTTACGGTTCATTTATCGTGGACTCGCTCTATCGCGGTTTTTCTAAATAAGATTGGACATGACACACAGTGGCTGACTGATGGATGAGCTGCACGATCGGCATTAAATTTTTATTTAAAACACATTATTTTAAATTATTTGGCACATTTGTGCAGCCCTCTCTGTAGGATAAACTTCCTGCTGCAGCTGATCAGGTCTCTCTTGTAAATGAGTCCCCGTGGCTCATTGGGACTAACCTGTATAAGTAAAGGTTGAATGATCAGCTGTTCAGCGTGCAGAGCGGAAAAGTGGGCGTGGCCAAGAGCGCTTGCAGGTGGCAAAGAGCAGAGGAGGCAGAGATGAAATGACATTTTATGGTCTTTTAGAGCGTTTAGAGTTTAGAAACGTTGTTTAGAATATTGCAAAAGTGTGGGAAAGGTTTAAAACACCTTTATTTATGTATATGTGTATATGTGTGTATATATATATATATATATATATATACATATATACATATACATAAATAAACTACTTGTTGTACTACTATTCCTACTTCGTGGTTTTTCACTTATCGCTGGTTGTCAGGGTACAGATCCCCTGCAATAAACGAGGGACTACTGTAATCTTGAACCAGAATAGGTTTCTATATTGTTTCTACAGCACCAGTCACGTGTTTTTAGTACTTTATTGTTACCATCTATACAAGACTAAATCCATTATTTAATTATAACTGTTGTTGTAATATGTGACATTAGATTTATTCCTTAAGTTTTGTTTAATTTTTGCTTTATTCAGCTGTAAAGAGTTTAAGGTTTGTCACTTTTGAGCACAGATTTATTGTGAGATCGACTTGTTTTTGTTTTCAGTGGCTTGTTTTGTTTTGTAAAATTATTTTCAGATTGACATTTACTGCACACTTCGGCATGATTTTTTTAATAAGTAGCCTTATGAAGAAAGTCAACACGGACATAGTATTCATAGTGTTGTTTTTAAAATATAAACAGTCTTACTCAGATTGTCTAAATGATCTGTGCAGATCGAGGTCCTGAACAAATACCTGTTTCTGACATCAAAGCCCATGATCTACCTGGTTAACCTCTCAGAGAAGGATTACATCAGAAAGAAGAACAAATGGTATGTTTGCCTAAGGAAAGGAGTGAGTGTGTGTTTGTGTGTGTGCTTTTGTCTGTGTCTTCAGGAAAATATCTCATGAACCACTGGACGGATTTTAACAAAACTCCTAAAGTAATCACTGGATGTACATTTACAGCTGATCAGGTTTTGTAATGAACCTCAGGTCTAGATGAACATCACAGCTAATTAGCATGAGCTTACAGAGAAATGGCTATGCTCAGGTATTTTTTTACATTTTATGAGCTAAATTTGGATTTGTGCATTTTAGCTCATGTGACAACCCCTGCCAAAGGGAGCAGCTGAAAGGGGGGGAAATAGCTGAACTTGGTGAGGTAGTAGCTGAGACTCATCCTCAACGCATATATCGTATGGGAAGCTGCGACGAAGTGAAGAGTCAACACAATGCTGCTTCTTTAACTACAAACCTGATTCCAGAAAAGTTGGGACACTAAACAAATTGTGAATAAAAACTGAACGCAATGATGTGGAGGTGCCAACATCTAATATTTTATTCAGAATAGAACACAAATCACAGATCAAAAGTTTAAACTGAGAGAATG